ATCATATCGCTTAAGTTTCGTGGGACTATTCATTTAATGTTTTTTCTTTTTTGCAATATTTTTGTAAAAGTTTAGTTGATAAACTATCAAGCAACTTCAGTTCAAGAAAAGATTTTATGTCTTATTGTGATGGACAATCATTCATGAACTACAGTCTTGCGTTAGCAGGATTTTTATAGAAAAAAATATAAATCATTGTGTGCGAAAACGTTTTATTTGCACAAAATTATTTCACATCATAACGTTAATCATATGGTTGCCATTCAAACTTATGAAAATATATTATATTACTATGAATAGTGAAACCTAAAAATAGGCTTTGAAAACTGACAAAATAATTGAAAATAAAAAAAATTGCTAATTTTCAAAATAATTCGATTCAGATTCTGTGCAAACGGAGTAGTTAGAGGGGAAAGATACCCTGAAGATGTCTCAGAACATAATTAGAAAGAAATTTCAAAATAATTTTTTTTCTTCCTTTGGTAAGTGCGGACCCAAGACTTAAATTTTTTATCCGATTAATTTGAAAATTTAGCGCAATGCTTCCTATTATTATTGTAGTGTTCATTGTGCTTTGTTCTTTTAATGAATTATTTTTTGATAAAAAAGCAAGATAATGAATAAGAAATTCTTCTGAAATTAAAGCTTGTTATTCCTTTTATCAAATAATATAAGCGTCTTAAGGCATCCTAAGTGTAATGGAAACTAACATAATGTAAGAATGAATATAACGTAAAATAAATAATTCCAAGGAACTGAAGCTGTAAATAAACTTGATAAGCAAAAAAAGAATTCATTGACCTCAAAAAAATATAAAGATGGTAATAACAGTTGACGTGTTTCAAGTGCTCAAAAATATGTGCCCATTCTCAAGATTTGCCTGACATGAAGGTGAAAAACAAAAGTGATTTGAAACATAAAGATGCCAACGAAGAAAAGGAAAATAAAAGTGAAAAATAAAATTAGAACAACCTTGGTAACAGAGTTTGAAACAGGAAATGTAAATAAAGATGAAAAAAAGTAAAAAGTCCGGTGCGGCCGAGAGAGGCGAATTAGGTCAAAATGCATTTCCACGCGCTATAGAGAGAGGTTGAGAAAATCATATTGTTAACGAGGGAATCGGTATTCGTATGTATGGAACAAGATTACAGGACATCAAGATGAGCTCATTTGACAGGGGTGCAAATAGTTATAGCATAGTCGATTTATGCTCAAGATTTCAACTTTATGCCGTACTTGATGATATAGCGCAATCTTGTTAACTGACATAATAATCGCATTCCTTTAGCCTAAATTTTAAAGCGCTTGTTTTCGTCTGTCCGATGTAACCAAGATCACAATGACAAGGTATGTGGTTAATGCCTCAACGATTTTCTACCCTGATATTCAAAATGTTTAAGTTTTGTCAGCAGGCTTGGAAATGATTTTAAAACAAAAACTAAATAGGATTTAAGCAATTTTGTAGCAAACGGGAGAAAAAAACTATAAAGTAACAAGTTCATTGAAAGAATTAGAAGAAAAGATGGGTGGTACAGCTAAATCAACTATAGAAGGGTTAAATCCAAAGTTAGCTGTAAGCGAGTAGAGGAAATTATGTTTAAAGAAGATTCAAAGCAAAAGTTTAGTGGAATCGCTCGGAATTGTTTTCCGGAAAACGAAATTTATGGCATTTTCAAGTTAAGTTGCTTTAAAAAAAATTTACAAAATCTTACTCCATATATATACAATTTATAAAAGTGTGGGTAAATTTTCAGTTTTTTCATAATGTTTAACTTAAAATAGCTGCCAAAAGTTTCACCCCTTCAGTCTGGCATCATAATACTAGGATATGCAAAAACTAATAAGCTACTTCTATGGTCTACACTCAATAATTTCAATGAACATTTAGAATGTTAACGATACCTAAAATTACATTTTCTTTTAACTAATTTTTCCAAATATTGATTTAAATGTTTTTTCCCCAAATTCTACTAAAAAAATTAAAGTACTCTGTTTTACACAAGTTAGGGCAAATGTTGTACAAAATTTATGATAGCATTTATGGATGGGTGATCGTGTAAAGCTAAGGGTGGTGGCGCTAGTGGTAAAATTGCTCTTTCAAGACTTCCGGGTTATTGCTTCCGATATATTTTTACGCCGCAGATTGAAAAAACGCGCCATCATATTATTGCATCATATCTTTTGCAGTATTTCACATGTACCGAGTTCTTTCTTTCAGCCTTTAAACTTCAGCATTATCATATTAATATTATAATCATTAGAATATTTTCCAATTAGGCTAACTTAAAAAGATATTTTTAAAGATATTTTATTCAAATGTAGCCAAATAAGGGATAAAATACAAAATATGGCAAACCTTAAGAATTATTCACAGTGAGATATTAACTTTCCAAAATTTTTTTTGGCCTTACGACCTCTGAGAATCAATACATTTTTGAAAGCTCTTATGAATGGTACAATTATGTTTAGATTTGAACCCAAATTACAATGACAAAACTGCATAGAATATTTGGCTTGTTCACACATCGCCTCGTAGACATAACATAAGCGGAGGGATACACCGGAAATTTTCTAAATTTCTTCCGGTTTAAGGACGCTTGTTATTGTTTACATTAGACCACCCATCCATACTATGCATTATTTTTTTAAAATTTTTTATGAAAATGTGTTTATTACTACAAAGACATCATATTTAAAATGTAGAAAAAATATTGCACTTACTATTACAAACATAATTTTAAATTTTTCTCTGAAAACTTTTGAAAAAAAAAAACAGTTGCCTATGTCTACCAACTTAGTTACAAACCTTCAGTAAAAGCCGCCATGGCTCAGGGGATAGAGCGTTCGTCTTCCTATAAAGGACTGACCCTCCATCCAGCTCAAGTGGTCCCAGCAAAGTGGCCTCCAACATGAGTGAAAAAGCTCCAAACTTGAGTGTCTAATGCAATTTTCGTCACAATGGGCTTAGAGCCCACGAAAACCTGGCGAGAGTTTTTTCAGATTGGGTCAACTTGAAAAAAACCATCCTTATACCCACCAAGAAGTTTTTTTTTTTTCACATTTAATTATTTCCAAGCTTTTTTTTTTTTTTTTTTTTTTGCAATTATTTCACCAAGCTGTTCTTCTTTTAAATTATTAACTTAATGTCGTATAGATTAAATATTGTAACTTTTTATACAAAATTATATGAAGTAAGACATATTTCATTAATCTGGTTTTTGCAAACAAAATTTAATATAAGTGAACTACCAACCATGTGAAGAAAAATAAAGTACACAATGAAATATTTTGCTAAATTATAATACATTATTATAAACCAAATTATGTGTAATATGCATACAAAATCCACTTATTGCATAACATTCTAACTTTGTGTGATTAATTACTTCAAATCCTGTTAGTAAAAATTATAATTATTTAATTTCTTAAATATGCTACATTTTTGTCAAATAAAAGTTCAGTTTCCTTCACCAATGGTATTGAATGAAATTTTAATAAAATGCAAGAAAACTCACTAAACACAAACTATATTAGGTTTTGTTGTATTTGTAAAAAAAAATTTTGTAAAATTTTCTTTTTAGAAATATAAGCCTTTATTGGCGATCGCAACACTCGAATACGCCATCTGGGGAACGACCGGTTTCATGCCTTTAGCCCTTCTCCCTTCCCTCTCCTCCTCTTTTCAGTTGTATAGGAATGTACTACGATATTTTCCCTTTTCTTAATATTTTTCCTTTTTATTTAATAAAAATATCTTTTAAAATTTCCGTGATACTTTTCTTTAGAACTATGTTTAATGTAGTTTTCAGTTCCATACAGTTTTCCAACTGAAGAGATTTTAATCTATATGAAAATCAAGAGAGAAACTAATATACTTCCTACCTCTATGACTCTCCACACGCTAATGGGGAAAGCATGTGAAGGTGTTGCCATAGGTAGAGAGTTCTTCTATACTCCACCTGCAGCCCATTTCGATCGCCAATTTCATACACTAAGTCTTTGAATCTTAATTTTAAATTGTTAATAAAATTCGTAGTTGTCAGCTTATTCCGTTTTGTTAGAAGATTTTACTCTGAAAATGGTTACGAAATTTTGTCTTTCATATTTGATTCTTAATTGAATTAAGTTGAATTCAGAAAATTTTAAACACCACAACAAATGAAAACCATCAAACATACATAAAAAATAATTATGATGATGGTGTAAGGGTTTTAAGCATAGACAAAATTAAATCTTATTTTAATTAAAAACTTCAATACAAATTGTATTTCATTACCACTAAGAGAAGTATTCTTCAAAAACTGTCAGAGGCTGGTGGGTATGAAATTTATCTGAGATATTTAGGATTCCAGCAATTAATCAACACACAGTCTATTTCTTAACGCATTCCAATAAGGTACTTTTCGGTCAGCTGGTCGTAAGCGAAAACTCGCCGAAAGAGTGAACTTCCGCCAACATTTTTTTAATTATTTCTCTACAATTTTATTTAATTTATTTTTTAAACACTGAAAAAAATGGACGTTCCCAAGAAGAAGAAAAAACTTCAATTTCATTGCACTCGGGTAACCGAAAATGGTACTTCAAATAATTTATGAAATGTAAATTTCGAAAAAAAGAAGTTTGAATTAAAAGAAAAGTAATATTCTATTGAATTAAAATTAAACATATATTTAAATAAGATTAGAAGAAGACAAATATTGATCAAACAGAGCTCTTTTCAGCGTCCCCAAATTTCTTGACTGGATGAGAAAGTAATAAGATCCTACATCCACCATTTAAATCTGTAATTCAATACAAAGGGAAAATTCTTGGAAATTGATCATGATTCGGCGTATTAGTTATACGGCGTATTAGAATCCGGCATTTATCGGTATCGTAAACTTGTCTTTCAATCCTCGAATATCTATGCAAGCTACAAACTGTTTCTGATTTTTTTATGAAAATTTCCTGCTATTTATCAAGCCTCAACTCAAAGCTACATTAGTGGCAATACAGAGCTGTAAGTTGACACAAAAACTCGTCGCACTTTTCTGTAGTCAAAACAAACTTATTCTGTTTTGCTTTCTTTTAAAATGTAATTTTTCTATTATAATCTTAATAAGTGATTTGTACATCAGATTGTCCTGAAATATTTTATTTAAAAGCAGTTTTTTCTTAAAATTTTCTAGTTAAAATGTCGCGAGTGTTATGCAAGTATGTTCCTTAAATATTAATTGAAATCATATTTAACTTACTACCTCTTTGATGCAATATATACTATATTAATTTTCTACTGCTTTATTTTTATTTTGTCTTCTAGGCAACAGATGCTTCATTTAATTTTTTAAGTTAAAAACTATGCCTTTCTTTGTTGGTAGATATTATTTTGTGTATATGAACGTCGCAGGGGCCCAATTTTTGAGAGTGGCAAAATTAAGTTGCATATTCACAATATTTTTTCGCCAAGTCTAGGAAACTTCAAAATTTCCATATAACATTGGTAGAAACATGTTTATTACATGCTTTGTACCATTTTCTTTTTCAAACTTAACATTATAAATTAGATGTTAAAACCTTCAAGAATTCTATAACCTTGTTTTTTTTTCTTTATTAATTTAAAATTATTATAGCTAATCATTGACTTTTGCATGTAAGAAAACACACAGATACGCAGTGTTTATGTATTAAATTAAAGTTAGGTTTTCTGCACAAAATATTTTATCGTGCAATAGTTTCTTAAAAATTGTAATCAGTTTTTTGTTTAGTCATATTTGTGTATGAGTTTTATACTCATGACTCTGGTAACAGAAACCTTGCAGCATGGCAACAGATGCTGAAGGTTTCTATGGCATCTTATCTTAAAACACTTGTTAAGTCAAGCTGAAAAATATCTGCAGATTTTTAAGCTTAAAATTTCAAAAATCTAAGCTTAAAATTAAAAAAGAATCACAGTTAATTTTCTACTTTTTAAATTTAAAAGTGGGGCGATAATTAATTTTCAGATAGAATATTTAAAAATGAGGGAAAATGAAAAAAAATGAAAAATTTTATAAATACCTGAAAATTTTTGATTATTTGGTTAGAGGCTTTTATTATGTAGGATTTATTCATTACATGAAATTTTGATGTAATTATTATTTACCTTATCTAGTCCCACATTGCTATATAGTTTTTACCAGGAGTTGGCACTTGGCTCCACCGCCTCGGACGCAGAGTTCATTTCCATGAGTGAGTAAGGGGAGAAACATTTCTGCTCTTGAAAATTAGGCAACCCTTAATGTGCTCCAAATGCTAACGGTGAATTCTTTTTCAGTCACTTACTTCGCTTTTTCATCTGCTATTATACCTTTCGTTACTCTAGCTAATTAAATATATTTTAAATTTAAAAACTGCTGTTCTCCCAGCAAAATGTCTCCAAAATAACTAATTATTCACTCAAAAAAGAGAATTATAATCAAATGTATGAAATATTTAATGTTAAAAAATGCACATAAAGAAATATTTTTGTCATGCGATCGCCAAATAGCAACCTTGATCAGGACTGTTTGCATCCTTCTACCAAAAATAGAGAAATAGCATCATCAGCCGTACCGTCTTTACGCATGGGCACACTCGGGCAGTGCCCGAGGGCCCCCCGCACTCAGTGGGCCCTTGAGAATCTCACTTTTTATAAATTTTATTTAAAAAAAACTAAGTATAAACAATATTGCCTTATACTTTTTAAAAAATAAATACATTCTATTGTATAAAGTGTGCATTTTGTTATTCTTTCTACTCATAGTGATCAACTATTATGCAAACTACAATAATTTGAATAGTTTATCATAGGGAAAACTTAAAAAGTTAACCGAAATCTATTTTTCTGCGTTCCAATGAAGTTTTTATGTGGATTCAGTCTTTTGGAGAAATTAAAATGTATTTAAATTTGTTTAAATTATTGCATGCTTTAAAAATGCTTTATTTCATGTATGTGAAGTTTTTTAGTTCGATTTTAAACAGTATAAAATGTCATAAGGGACCAAAAAATTTCTTTGCCTGGGGGCCCTGCATTCTATTAAGACAGCCCTGATCATCGGATACCCCAGATGAAGGCGGAGCCAAGTGCAGACTCTTGGTAAAGGAACTATACATGTATAATAAGTCTATATTTTCCACTATTAGTCTCTGACTGCATGTCAGTATCTAAGAATATTGAACTAATGAAGATGCTACGGAGAAATTTATCAAAGTCTGCTACCGGGTTCATAATTACTACATCCTTTAAAAAGACAAAAAATACTACTTTATCCTAAAAAAGAAGAATTTAATAAGTATAGTACTTTATAAAGAGACATCGAATTAGTATCCAGGAAATATTCTGGTGTTTCAGTTACCTTAAAAAAAAATTAATAGACCTCAGTTTTCGAACTTCCGTATGAAAATGTGAGAAAGTAAGAGAACTGTGAGATAATGTAAATTGCGACATCATTTAGACAAATGAATAATCCTTTATAATGGCTTGTAGAAATTTGTTACATTTTTAATATCTCAGAAACTTTAAAATTGCTTAGAATAAATTTTGAATATATATATATATATATATGTATAACAGAGTTCTAACTATGAATAAAAAAGGGCAAGGTGCTTCCTCATAGGAAAAGGCACTTTGAATTTTAAAAGGGCACTCACTTAACTACATAAAATTTATAATATGTAATAACTGAATTTGATCCTCAACGATTTTTAAGTTTTTGACTTATATACTGTTTTATATGTGTATTTAAAAAAGTAATTTTCACTCATCTAAATAAGAGAAAAATTTTTAGTTTATCAATGATAATTAGAAGCCTGCGGAGAGAACGCACAGATTACGCACAGATTTTTTGGAAAAAAACCAGCCTAAAAAAATTTCATTTTTTTTATGTAAAAAAATTTATTCTGCTCCTGGATCAACTTTTCTTTTGGTGGACAATTTTGATATACTGCGCTTTTGTTCCATGGAAAAAGGCTATATTTTATTCTTGAATAAATAAGTGTTATAGCTTACAATCCTATTTAAATGATAAATATCAATAAAACTATTTTTTTTCTCAGCTTTCATATTCTTATTTTCAATTCTCGATTATATTAGAGTGTGAAAAATTATAGCTCCATAAAATACAACACTGCTCGAATTATCTCGAGTGTGGACAGTTTGGCCTGTTTAGGGTGCTCAAATTAACTCAAGCACACAAATTAAGGGTTAAATTTATAAACACAGATCATTTTTGTGTATAATCAATATTTTAACAATTAATTTTTCTTAAAAATGGAATATGAATAAAAAGTCGGTGGGTTTTAAGGGATGGTGGCTTATTTTTAAAGAAAAAGACAAAGAGGGCGCATTTATAGGGATCAAAGGGTGTGTAGGGCTGGTCGCCCTTCTAATAATATAAAGTAATATGAATTTATCTTAATGTAACCATGCTATTATTCATACTTCTTTGCAATAAAAGAATTAATTGTTAATTCAACCAACAACGAACCTTATCATTTTACAACTTCAGTTAATGTGTAATGATGAAAACTAATATAAATTTACTCCTGTGTTGAATATGTAGTACTCTATCATTTAACTGAATATTTGAATATATATACTATCCTTTCTGCAGATTAACCTTTTCATATTTTAGGCAGTTTTAAGCATTTTTTCCCCTTTAGCTTGATTATGTAAAAACTCTTTATTCCATTCTCTCCACCTCCCCTCAGAGAATTGCAATATATAAAAGATGCATTACATGTTTTCCAATATTTGACCTATTTTTGTTAGTGAACTCGATGATTTCAAAGTTGGTCTGTTAATTGTAAGAAAGTTTAATTTTGACAAATTGGTGTCAGTTTTTATGTCAATTATTTACAAGTAAATTAGGAGTACTTTTTAAAGTCTGATAAATTTGATATTTTTTTTCTTCTTAGGAGTGTTTGTTTCATCTGGGAGCAAGTGAGAAATGGATCAAATCGTACTTGCATAGCGAAAATAGGCCGCGAAAAATATGTCCGTGTGTATCCAACTATGGTTGTGAATTCTGATGGCTCAACTTATACAATTAGATACCATGAGCCCAGAAAAATTATTAAAGTGAGTCCTTTTATAATTGTTCATAATTTTTATGCTTTTACTGGTATTTTTTTCATTGATTTTAATTTTTTAATATTTCTCTTACAATAAAAGTTAAGATGATTTCTGAGTTTTTTTCATTTTTGTGTATACACAAAGTTTTCAGCTGTTGTCTAGTATGTCTGTATGCCATACTGATATTTTATATTGATGCTTATGTAATAAAAGTATACTTTCATTTACTTAAAATTGTGTTTTTTCAAAGCAGAATTTTTTATATTTGTGGTTTTCATGCACATAATTTTGAACTAGATTCATGAAAATTAAACACTAAAAACAATTTTTAATTTCTGATTAACATATGTATTCTATATGCTTTTTCTGCAGAAAATTAACAAAATATCCTTTGTGTAACTAAAAGGACATAAATAATATAGATGATATAAAATTTTTGCTTAATAGAGTCGAGCTCGGTTTAAAGACCTCTGTTGTCCAAAGAAATGTGGACGTTATAATGTAAGGTTGCTATAACTTTATTGAAAAAAGTTTAATTAAATTTCGGTCGCTAAATTCTAACCGATGTTAAGATAGTGTTGCTTTTATGGAAAAGAAACAGTATTTCATGTATCGGTCATTAAAACGGAAGGGTCACAAACCTAAGGTGTCAATAAATTCCTTCTATATGCTATAATTGAAATAGCATTTACACTTTTTAAACGAAATTCAAAACAAGCAGAATAATGTAAAAAAAATTGATATTAGTTTTTATTATTTATTATATGATCATAAAATTTATAGAGAAAAACAAGTTTCTTTTAACAGTGGTGTATACCTTAAAATATAGTTGATTTTAACCCTAAAAGTTTTTCATAAGCATCAATACTTTAACAAAACTAATTAATTTAATTGATACTTTAGAAAACTAGATTGGTCAGTTCTGTGACATGGTATCAGTGGATTGTGATTCAAATTGTTAAAACTATTGCAGTGTGGTAGAGTTGAAACAATTTGTTCTATTTTAATTTCAATTAATTAATTGTGACTTTAATATCTTCTGATATTAAATGATTTAGTGTTAAATAAAGTGCTTTAATAACAAACTTTTATTAGTAATGGAAAATATTATATGGCAAAGCACAAACTGTATTTTTTTATTGTAACTTTTTCATTGAAATGAATATTGGAGTGAAACATGCATTGAGAAAACAAGAATCTGATGAATTCAATTTGGGTTGCTTAATTTGTAAAGTACAGTAAAAATGGAGCCGAAATGTTTGAAAATTATGAAATTTGCAAATATATAGTTTATTTTTTCTTTCAAAATTATTTTAAATATTTAAAAACGAAATTTTTTACAGGATAAAGAGTTATGTTATTTAAAAACTATAAACTAGATTGTTCAGAAAGTCTTTTCAGTCAACCGAATGTTTAAAACTCGAAGGGATTCTGAACGTATTCCACCGTCTCTGAGAACTGCCCCAGTTATAAAAAGATTTGGTTCAAGTGTTTACTATTTATTTGATTAATGCTGTGTACATATTTTTCAATTCACTGTTATAAGAGTTATTGCCACGCATTAGCATTGTGTACTAAACAGAGATTAAATTCTCGATTTTTTTCATAAAATAAAAAGTAATTATATATTTAAACACTAAAAATTTGAATAATTTTTTTTTCATTTAAAGTAAACTCTAAATTCATTTTACATTTTAAGAAGAAAGTAATGTTTGCCTATGGCAATAACACATATTTTTACAATATATATATACATAGAGAAAGTGGCTTTCTGTGGACCTTTGTTAGAAAGTGCATGAACAGAAAACTAAGATTGTGCATTTCAAACTCTGCCAAATCTACTCTTTGGATAATTTGAAAAACGCGCAATTGGAAAGCAAACCTATATTTAAAAATGTAGTAAAGTCTTTTAAGACAATTGGTTTAATACAGAAAAAGTAATAACTGGGACCAACCTGGAAAAAAAAGTAAGCATTTTTAAATTTGTATCTTGAAATAGCATTTCGATGCTTTATTCAATTTTCAAATATGTGTATTTTTATGGGTACTTAGTTAGATATTTTATTCCTAAGCATTGTGATAGGTGTTTTCATTATTAATTTTTATTTTGTAAAGATAACATAATATATGAGTAGAATAATTCTATTTATAAAGTGACAATATCACTGCAATTTAGCATGGAGATGCAAAGGTGTGTTTTAATATTTTACATAATGTAACGTTATTTATTGTAGTTGCCAATGGATACAAGTAAGTTAACAGCTGAAGAATTGCATATACATTTAAATAGAAGAAAGGGAATAAAGAAAGTAGTTATAGAGGAACAATTTGAAGATGACTTTGATATAAACCGCTACAGCCATTTATGGAAAGACAAATCAACAGAAAACAAATAAGACCTGTAGTTGTAGCTATATTATAAATAAACTATTTTAGATCATTGCTTTGCTTTATTTATCTGTTATTCATTTTTAATTCTAAATTTTTCAGTCTATTCTTTTATAGCTACTTTTATAAAGAATTTTTACACAATCAATTTAATCACAAGCTATATGAATTTATTTCTGTCCCAAATAAAAGTGTTTCAACATTTAAAGTTGGAGTAAAATAATTGCACAATGTAAAATTATTATTAGTTGAATTAAATAAAGTAAAAAAATTGCCCCAGTGTTTATTATTTTATACTTTTTATTTATTTTATGAGGCACTAGCATATAATACCTTCCTGGCTTCTAGAAGTTTTTCTTTTTACATCTGATGAAAATATTCTTGATTTTGTTTAAAAGGGAAAATATATGCACCATTAAATTTATGTTACAAAAATCAATCTAACTAAATAATTTAAATAATCTGAAATACATTTTAAAATGCATATCTTTAACTAATATTTTAATAAATGTAATATTAGAATGTTATAAATACAATTGTTATTTTTGAAAAAGTTTTATTGCTAAACAAAACAAATGATTGGAAAATTAATGTTTGTTTTTTAAAAACAAAGTTTGCTTTTCAAATTCTTCATGTATAAAATACACATAAAAATTTTTTTTTATATTCCTAGAGATTTTAAAGCCATATTAATTGCTCCTTCTCTTGTTTTACAACCACCAATGAATCCTGACATATGCACAAAAGTGCAACCATCGATACCACTAACTTTACTTAGTTCTTCATCACGAAGGCCTCTCCAATCTTCATGTAGGGATACCCTAAATTAAACAAATAAAATTTTTTAAAAAAATCTTATTTGAGAAATGCAAATACAAATTATGAAAATTCTACAATAATGAAATATAAATAATGATAATTCTACATAAAATCTATAACAAACATTGTTTTTACTTGTCTAACATATTTAAAGGGTATTTTAATAATAAAAAATGTAATTCTTTTATTATAAAAAGATAAAGACTTAATAGTTTGTTTAAAACGGTTCCATAAATTAATCACATTTTAAACTAAACAATATTGCATATGATAAATACTAATGAATTGTGTGAGAGATAGAAGGCATAAAAACCTGTCAAATTTTAAAATTAAATAAAATAGTAAATTTATTTATTTTGGAATATTTTTGACGTTTTGTTATTCATAGCTTATTCTTGAATAACAAAAATTTTAAAAATCTTCATAACCAAAAAATATATATATATATATTTATAGTGATTAAGTTATTACTAATAAATACAAATTTAAATTGGCTGTAATATTTTTCATAAGCAGATAACATTGAATAAAATTTGCAAAATTTATTTTAGACTAATACAATTTTTCTTAAATAACAAATAAGTTAAAAAAGTTTCAAAAAACAGAAAGTATTTTTTATTCATTTAAAAATTGGATGTTATCTCTAAAATAAAGATAATTAAATTTAGAGAAAGTTGTAAACTTCATTACAAACAGACCTCACTGCCATTTTATTATTTTGTTGTCGTGTGATCTTTAAAATCTGAAGATAAAGCCCAGTAAAAATTTTGTTGTCGTGTGATCTTTAAAATCTGAAGATAAAGCCCAGTAAAAATTACTTTGATAGGATTTGTTTACAAACATTAACGATATTGGGGAAGTTCCTAAAGGAAAATTTAACAGGAAAAACTGTCAATATCAGTTTTCTACTAAACAAAATATAGGGTGAGGTATGTTAGGCTTAAAAGTTTACAGTCAGACTTAAAGATTATAAATATCAATATTGTTTTATATTTTCACTAGGAAAAAAATTCAGGATTAACTAAGGCTGAATTCCCATGGAAAAATATAATCATTAAAAATGTATTGATCTTTGAATATCGAGATAAATAATCAAGATATATAATTGACCAAGAATATAATTGATCAAAATAATCAAGAAAAATATTTACTTTGTTTTATTAATTTAATTTACACAATTACACAAACTGTTGGATTGAATTAATTTACAGTAAAAGATTCATACCTGTTCGAAAATAACCTGAAGTAATGTTTTACCACAGATAAAATGAAAAAGTTATTCATGATATTTTTGTATAAACATATGAAAGTGCAAAATAAAATACTTTAGCAGTATTATAAAAGTTATATATTTTTTCAAACATTAAAAAATGCTTCTATATATTTAATTATGAAGATTATAAATTTAAATTTGTTAGACATATGAGTTTGAATTTACATACTTAAATAAGTTTCATCCAAAGAACAAAAAAGTTTTTTTTTATTTCAAAAAATGTGTTTTTTAGAAGATGAAAAATAAAGTGTGTTAGAAATAATCAAAATTAAAAGGTAAAAAAAAAACAGTTCTCAAAAACATTCCATAATTTTATGGTCATAAATACAAAAATAAATTTTTTATTGTGCAGAAAGCCAGTTAAACTACATGTTTTTCTTAAAAATCATAGAAAATCCATCATTAATAACTGTATTCCAAAAAATTTTCAGATATTGTTTTGTATATTTTACAAAACAATCCCTACCTGTTTTCAAAAGAAAAAAGAGACACTGAAACACATTGAACTCTCCATAATCCATTAGTGTCAGTATAAATTACAAATTTAATGGGTGGCTCAATTTTCATTGATGTCTCAAGATCATAAAGATGCTCTTTCCACGGACAACCACCATTTTCAAATTCCATAATTTCACCACTTGGATGAACCTAGAACAACCATACATATTTTTAAGGAATCAATTTTCATATTACAAAAAAAGAAAATAGAGAAAATCTGTCTTTTTATTTCCTAAAATGTTATAATTAATTTAAAAAACTTCAATATTCTTTATTTATGTAACAAGAATATTGTAATTTTATTTAGTAATTAAAAGTAAATGATCGATTAATTGAACATACAGTTTTATGGCACAAGAGCTAGATGTAAGTATGCCATATCAATAATTTAACAGAAAAATTAGCAATGTTTTGATACTAAAACAAAACATACAACATAAATTAAGTTTAATGTTAGAAGAGCATGAATCGGTCAAAAAACAATGGTGACTGCATGAAGAATGTGTCCTTAAATAAAAATTTAAAAGAAACCATACAATTTTAGATTCAAAAATTTAAAAGCAAAACATGTAAAGTATAAAATACCAGATTAGAAACAATGCAAATGCTACACTTCATTATTTTATTGATGACTCTTAATTAAATTAAATTTTAAAAAAAGAGTTACAGTAATGCAGTTTTCATCTCTTAAAATATTCTTTATAAATAGTGACATGTTTGTCCAGCAATAATAACATTTTTAAACTTAAGATAAACTGTTATGATTAAAAAAAAAAATTATTTATTTGATCATGCACATTAAATTTATGATTACAAAGGTGTCTTAAGATAGTGAAATACTATTACAGATTATAACTTCCACTGAAATAAAGATGTTGTAAAACAATATATGTTATATGAATAAACAATACTTACATTTGGTAAAGCTAAATATGAGGCAATATATTATATTAACATATTGGAAAATAGACAGCTTGGACTTAAAAGAGGGGGGAAGAAATTAGAGAATTTATTTTCAAGCTAATTTAGTTGAAATCTAAATTATATGCAACAATTAAATATGATTGATACAGCTATCATATTTAATTATTGCATAGAGGAGAAAAACTGCAATAAAAATATTTTTAATTTTAATTAAATCTACTATAAATATAAAAGAATGCTCATATGAAGATAATCACTACTTTTCATATCAATCATTACTTTTCTGTAAACCTTCAGAATTAAAAATTCAAGGTTTAACATGTGACAAGGTGACATTAATATTTATGTCTCAAGCAAAGTTTCAAGAAATTTTAATAAAATATGAATTTTAAAATAAATAGAGGTTAGCAAACCTTTTGCAAGAATTTTCAATAAAAATGTATTAAAACTATCCGTCTGAATCAATGTCAAAAAAGAAAGAAAAAACATTTTTTAACAATTTAAAAAAAGTACACGATTGTAAATTGTTTTGCATTGTAATGAAAACAATGCTTATGCGTACGATACAAAGAAACACCCTAAATTGCAACTTTTTTTTAATAGTATCAAAAATATAATGCAATAAAACTTAAGAAGAAGCATGTACTCACAGAGTGTCTATTTTTAATAGCTTCCTTTACTATTTCTCTTGCTGGTAACCAAATTTTGCCATAAAAGTTTACTCTATCTAAAAATTCTTGTTCAGCTAATTCACAAGCCTTCTTAAAACATTTAGTCTGGAACATAAAAAATATAATTTTATTATTCAAATCTATAATTTTCACTACTGATAAAATAACCAGTATTCATTTCTAGTGTGTTTTTCTTATTTGCACATATTTCCTAAGACAGAATCCAAAAATTGAACTAAATTTTAATTTGAAGTATTAAAAAAAATGCTGATTGCTGTGCACCATATTTGTTAAACTATTAAAAAGGAAAAATTTAGTTCCCACATATTTTTCAGTATCTATCTATAGAAAAGGGCGAATCTGTATTTCAATTTTTAGAATTATCTGATCATAAAGCCACCCCTATTTAAAAGGTGTGGGAAAGTTTGAGAAAACATGCTTTTTAACATCTTAGTAAGAGTGGGGAAAATAAATAATAAGAGATTTTGCATAAAAAGTAAATATTTCAATTATTTATATACTCATCTAAAAAAAAAATTTTTTTTACTATATGTATACATTGACAGTCCAATTAACTATTAAGAAGAGAATAAAGTAATAATAAAGAAAAACAACAAAATAATGTAGAAATATTAAAAAAAAGTAGGCATTTGGCATAGCATTTTTCTTAATTATTTTCTCTCTGGAAAATTTCATTTCAATTTTTAATATTTTTATGCAAATATTCTGATCATTAATTTCCAAATCTCAAAATTGGAAATTTTTTTCACCTGGATGCTAAAAGCTTACAATGATTAATTTTCATTTTTTTTCCTCAATATTTTAGACTATACAATGATGAAACACTTTTTTAAAAAAAATTAGATCAAATGGTGTCAGTGAATTGAGATCAAAATTCATCAAAAAGCTAGAAAAATCTCATGCCTGACATCTAAAAGGGAAAACAAATTTAATTCATGTTAATGAGGCTACACTTACTTCATCCTGATTTTTTTCATTCCAAGGTGGATTCAAATGTTTAATTCTTGCACTTAAATGGGTGTGAACTTTATAACTAAAAATAAATGAGTAAAATATTTAAAAAAAACTAAGCAATGATAAACTATAACTGTACTGATCAAAAATATATTTATAATTATTGTTTAAATAAATTCATTGGTTTTTGAATAGTTTGAATGAATCATCAATTTCGACATTTATGCAACATACTACACTGTTAGATGAAGTAAAAATATAAAAAGCCAAAATTTGGGATAAGCACTGTTGTACTCAAACTTTTTTATTATCTACTAAAACAATTTAAAAACAGTTAACGCTATAACAATTCTGTCTATTTTTAAAAACATGCAAGCAATGAAAAGATTTGATTTTCTATATATATTGGCAATAAAAAAAATTTATTAAAAGAAAAAGCAAACAAAATGCTCAAATTTTATAAAATTCAATGGGTTTTTATCATTATTCACAGAAGTGTAGAATATTGCTTGTAAAATATGAAGACAATAAAAATTTATAAAAGAAATAGAATTTGCAAAATTTTTTTAAAAAGGCAATTTTTCCCTTTGAAAAGAAGCCATGTTCCTCTTAAACATAATTGTAACTTTAAGATAAAGTCAGCATAACCATTGATGAAAGTATAAATTATAGTTGACATATAACACTTTCCAATAATATTTAAAAGAATATGATTTTATTAGTCTTTTTTAAAATTAAAAATTTTCACAATGATTAATATAATTTAAAATTCACACAAAACACTTTACTTACAATGACATATGAACACCTACAATTCAACTTTAAAAAAAAATAGAGATGTTTAAGAACACATTTGTAATATTTAACATATCAAGTTGTTCTCTCTTACATGAAATGTTCTTTTCACTACTCATTACTTCTTAATATTAGGAATTATTTTTCGTTGGGATTTTTCAAAATTTATGAATATTTGGTAAATAAAAAAGGGAATTTAATAGAAATTCTCTTTTCTACGTAAATTTTAAATTATTCTCAAAAATAGAAACATGCAGATTCTTCAACAATCCCCTAAAATTAGGGATTTTTCTAAAAGGTAGGGAGAATTGACACACGAGCAGCTCAATTTTTTTTTTTTTTAATTTTTCAATAATTTTAATTTTTAAGGTATACAAAGTTAAAGCTAACAATTTAACAAAATTTTTTATTTTATTACAATCAAACATTAGACCTTAGACTTTATTTAGTTTTTAAACAATTGTAATAGAATTAGTTATTAGTAAAAAAAATTGAAAATTAATTTTCAAAATAAGAAGGAAAAAAACTTAGAGGAATGTAAGATAAAATGTTCAAATAAACCCACACAACATCTGTCGTTTTGCAAGCATCTATGCCATTATCTATTGCATCAACTTCTTGAATCAGGTTTTCATACAACTTGTTAAATATAACTTTAACTTCCTCTGAATCAGCTGCCAAGTTTAATATTCTAGAAATGATCTGATGTCCAAAATGATAATAGACTAATCCTGCACTGCTGAGTTTGATGGTCCATGGATAGTTATTGCTCAAAGAATTCATTGTTTCTGAGAATGACCTAAAATCATTAAATAACATATTGAATTTAAAATAATTCAAAATTCAAATAATTGTAAGCATTTACAACAATTCAAACCATTTACTTAATAAAAAAAAGGCTAAAAAATAATCAGAATTAAATCTCAGTTCTTTAAATTTTAAAATACTCAGAATTATAGTTGTACAGCTTTTTTAGTAACAACATTATGTAATATGCAGAACTAATTTCATATTTTTGTAGTCTACTGATCATTGCAATATTTGTTGTGATCTAATGATTACAATCTTTTAAGTAACAATTTCTTGTCACATACACAATTACATATGTTTGTGATATACACTACAACACTTAATGATAGTTACCTTAATTTTTGTGACCTAATAATCATTATAAAATATTTCTGTGTATTTGTTTCAGAGGCAATTTTATGCCATATACATTACTTACACCACATTTTTCTTAGATCTAATGATCATCTCATTGTCTAACATTCCAGGATCATTGAAATTTGAAAATAAACAATATTCTCAAAATAAAACTATAACATTCTAAGCCTAGTACTCTAAAAAATTGTTATGAAATTTCATTGTTAGACACTACTAGCAATTTGAATGACAAGGAAGGAAAAAAAAAACAGTTATTTGCTTGCAAGAAAAGCACCACTTTAAAGTTTGTTTTTTTTCCTTAAAAAAAAAGTGCTGGAACTAATGTTTGGAGTGTTAAATAAGATAATTGTAAACCAAGAAAAAATTTACCACAAAAGAGCATAAAATTTTAACCTAGAATCCAATCATCATCTTGATTTCAAAACATCTTGTATGCAAATTTTGTTCAATGTGAAAAAATTTAAACATTTTTACTGTTATCATCATGTTTAAAGTTGTCTTTAGTTTGTTAGTTTGCTTCAAACCATCAAAGTGGTAGAATGTTTCGAACCCTAAAACAAATACCGCACACGTAGGCAAGTTCCCGCTCAATACAAAAATAATTAGGAAATGGTTCTAAAAAGTTTAGTGTTACATCTAACATAGAAACCTGAAGTAGAATCCAATGTATCATATCTAGGATCTATAGTTTAGAAGTTTTAAGCTAATTAAAGTGTATAGTACATAAAAATTACATTTTTGACTTATGCCTATAAATGTCTGATATTCCTATCTAGTCAAGTTATTTATTTTATTTTTTATGCATATTTTTCTCCCCAGTGAATTGAATGAAACCAAAGCCAAGTCGAAAGGGTTTAATATTCTAAAGTTAAAAATTACAGTTTTGTATTTGGCTATATATCTTTCCTACACATCTGAATTTGTAATCTAGAGAACCAAAATATTGTTTTATTTGTATTATCTTACAGCTGAATCAAAAGAGACAAATAGTATAGAAGTTTAAGAGCTTTAGTATAACATATAAAAAATAGTTTTTGATCCATAACTATTTATGTTGACACTAATCATATCTAGATAACACAGTATTGTTTGTTTTATATTTTGTTTATGATGAAACCTATTGTGATTAAATACAAGTTCATAAAACTAATGATTTAGAAGTCATAAGAATTTTAAGTTATAATAGAGAAGTTATAAGAGTTATTTACAATTTTGGACTTAATTTACCAATAAAATAATTATAATTCTAAATTATTAGCCAAATTGACTTGATTTCGATTTTCTTCAATTCAGCTAAAACTAGTATATTAAAAAAATATACCTGTGTTGACAATCTAACAATGTCAAACATATAAATAGGTATAAATACAAAACTGTACTTAATATACGGAAACTTTTGCACTTTTTGAACAATTAGTCCTATTGACTTGCATTTGGTTGAAGAACACCTTAATATAACTTCACTTGATCAGATACGAACATTAAAGACATAAGTAGGTATAAGTTTTCTTTTTTAAAAAATGTATTTCCTATACACTATACTTACTAAATAGATTATAACAAAACTAATAGTTTTAATGACTTAGTTTTGGCCTCACTGAATTAAGCATAAAAATACACAAGAAATAATATCTCACTAGTCTAGATAGTTAAGGTTAAATTTATACTTTTTTAAACCCTCTCTCCCCAGCAGTGAATTCAAGATGGTGACAAAAGCTCACCTCAGAAGAGGAGGCAAACTTTAGGTATTCATATTGGTCTAAAATTCTAAGGGTTAAAACAATTCTCAGTTTCCCTATAATTATATAAAAAATTAGGAAAAGTGGTAAAAGTATAGTATGAATCACTTTTAAACCAGTGTCCCCCCTAAGCGTTTTTAGAAAGGCGGCTCACCCCGTCACCCCTGTAAATGCACCCTCCTTGCTCTTTTATAACCATAATCTGCTATTCTTTTAAATAAATACCTTTTAATTGAAAATACACCTTTAAATGTTTATTTTCTCATAATTTTAAACTTTCAAAATGTTTATCAATTAATCCTTTTTTTTAAATTTTATTTACTTATTTCAAGAAAATTTATGCACAGAGATGGTCTTTTAGTTCAGCCTTTAATTATTTTTCAAAAGCTTCAAATTTTTCTGTTATTTTGATAATGAGTGCAAATTATTTTAAGAAATAAACACATAAAATAGTATAAGATAATTTAAAAATTGAGGATCAAATTCAATGATTATATAATATTACACATTTTGATAAATTTTAACAGTGGTAAGTGAGTGCACTTTCGAAACTCAAAGTGCCTGTTTCAGTGAAAAGCACCTTGCCTTTTTCTATTCCTAGGGTGAACTCTGTTTAAACTAAACTAATATGCACTAAAAATAAGTATGAAAACACCACTTTTAATTATTTTATTGCTCACTTTGCTCCTCATAAAAATTCAATACCAATGCCTTATTTTTTTATTCAATAGAAGATTTTTTCAATTGTTATACTTGAAATGCACAATTGACATAAATCGAAAATCCAAACCCTCACTTACTTTTGATGATGATCATATCGATGAGCGCTAGGTTCATAAACCCCTCCTACATCAACAACTACATCACACTCATTTAAAATATCCATGTTTCGTGTCCTTCAAACGAAAAAATTTGAAATGAATTTAGTAAAAAAAAAAATATATATATACATATAACAATAAATTTTACTCAAAATATTAAAGTTAAATATCTATAAATTTTCATTTCATAGCATTGAATGCAAGATTTATAAAGAAAACTGATATGTACACTCAATAATGAAACTTAATAGTAGTGCATTTCAAAATAAAAATATTTTAAACAAATTTCCAATATGCATTTGCACAGTCATTAGTAAGTTTCTTAAATTAATAAAACTAAGATGGATTATACTTTTACATTTACTATACATAACTAACAATCATAACGTTTAAAATATCAACGTGCATTATAAATTTGAAAAATATAAAAAAAGAGAAAAAGAGCTTGTTTTTTTTACATATTTGTTAACCCAAAAGTTTGCAATTAAGGTTATAGTGAGAAATTTGCCATTTAATTTTTTTTAGTATTAAAATAATTATACTAAACCAATTTAAATAGACAAATATGCAATGACTAGAATAATTAATTAACCAGTTCCCAAATAATTAAAATTTAAACAGATTTTGACATAAAACTCATTTTGCATGTAAAAAACCATTTTATCAAAGCATTGTAAAATAAAAAGATATTTTAAAAAGTAGACAATATTATAGCTTACTACTAATTTATAAGATTAATTTAAAATACTGTGTAATAAATTGCTTGCAAAACAATTCTTGTACAAAAAAGTGCTAGAGAAAAATGTTTTTAACCTTTGTTAGGTTTGAAAATCATAAGAAAGTGATGTTTAACAAGTGTAAAATTACTTGGCATTTAAAAAATAAAATTTTTCAATAAATCAGAAATTTTCTGGAAAAATGTGTTCTATTTTCAGATCTACATATATTTGCAGGAAATTCACAATAACAAATATAAATGCGCTCTAATGGTCAAACTTTCGCAAAGGGATAAGAATCTAAAAAAGCAATCTGAATTTCATTAAAATTACAATAAAGAAATATATTTTTTAATGAGTTAATGAAAAAATAAAACAATTGGAAGAACAAATTGAATGTCAACTGATATTTATATTTATCAACAAATTTAAAATAATAAAGAATTTTTTAAAGATGAAATTCCTTTTTTTTAAAAAAAATTAAGTCAAATTTAAATGTTTAACACAAATAAAATATTTTTAAAACATATTCCAATTCGAAACCAACATAGACATCAACAATATAAACAGACTATCTCAATAAGGGGCTCAACAGACTAAAGTAATAAAAATGAGCTATATTTTGCATTATTACTATGACCTTGGTATACTTGAAGAACAATGATAGTTTTCATTAAAAAATGAAATTTACCATACCAATTTCCAGTATATATAATAACAATTTGATATACACATTAACAAGTTGGAAATAGTTTATTTAAACATCAATGAGAAACTGCAAGAGATATATATTAAAACAGACTAAACACTTAAAACATCGTTTACAAAGGTATTTAGTATTTTATTTTTAAGATGATCCTTTGTAACTCATACCCAAAGTAGAAAATTTTATGAAAATGTAAAAAATATATAGTGTTTATATAGTGTAATTTAAAAAATATAAATATATAAAAGCTGTTATATTTGTTTCACGAAATAATTATCCTAAAAAACAAGCTCTTATTTTTTCAAACCCCGAAAACTTAATGTCTCATTATGAGAGCTAAATGCTGATAAATTTAACTAAATAAAAGTAAGGAAAATAAAGTTTAATATCACCCTGCAACAAACAGGACAAACTTTTAATGCTATAAGCAGAACAATACTATAGGATTAATAGGAATTTATAAGATGTCTGAAGAAGTAAGATGTTCGGATCATCAAAGATATATACTAGAAAAATACTTATAGGATGTTCAAAAAGTATAGAAGCAATCAAATATCTGAATAAATACACATTTACCTTACAACTTCAGCATTCTTAAATTCATCTTTAGCATATTTCAACATAGTACAAGCTAAAACTTCATCACAATGAAATGTTCCATTGTGCGTTCCAATTTTTAATTTGGGTCCCATAGTGACACTTGATAAAAAGGCAGACAACTTCAATGGCTGGTATCTTTTAGAACCTATAAAAACACTTAATTTAAATTTTCAATCAAGATTGTTAAAAATCTATTAATTTAACACAGTAAAAATTATGTATAAATTAATATCAATAACTCTCAAAACATAATCAAAATATCACATGGATGTATAATACTATTAATTAAAATTTTGCACGGAAAACAAGGAATGGGAATTTAAATCCGCAATTTTAATTTCTTGTGTCAAACTAATAACAAATGAAAAATATCGGAATTTTAAAAACTACATATTGGTTGCAATAGCTATAGAAAAGTTGAAAAAATGGAATTGCTACAAAAGAGATAAATCAATCAAACGTGTCCTTAGAGCTTTACGTGAGATAATAATATAAGTATTAAAAAATTCATGGAAAGAACCATAGTAATAACTGAGAAACAAAAGATATCGGGATTTTAAAAAACAAAAGGAAAATCCGTATCAATAATTGATCAAAACAAATTAAAAAATGATAAAAACACTACTTATATTTACGATGAAATCAGCGCCAGTTGAGAACAATAAAATGAAGTCTCAAATGTGCAATTTAACATTTTGTCACATCAAAGATATAGAATAGATCTTATTTCAATCAAATAAAAAAAGGAGAAACATATATTGAGCAATGATTTATTAATTCTTTTGCTACAAATCTGAATTCGTAACAATACTGTCATATATTATTAAAATATAAAAGATGCTCTTAAGAAAAAAAATTCTAGAACAAATTCTTATAAATTTTTGAGGTTTTGAAATTACCTTTTAAAATATTAATCAGAAATTCTAAATAATTACAATCCTAGCAGAATTTCTTTTATTCTTAAAGCAAAAAAAAAATAAATCATAAACGTTAATTACTCCTCTAACACCAGAGAACAGCAAATCTAGAAATAATTCTACAGAAAAGAAAAAAAAAACATTTTTCAAAATAATTGAAATTATGATTCTTTGTTTCCCAGATTATAAATCTTTTTGCAAGATTTCTGTAACGTTGAGACAACGTCGTTGTGATTCTACCGTTGGTCAAGATTTAATATTTTTTTTAATTTTAAATAACTTTGGCTTGATATGTAAATAAAACAATAATGAGCAAATTGTATGGTTTTCATAGAAGAATTCCGCGTTTTCAAAATATTAATATTAAAAAAAGAATGAGAAGATACTATACCACAACTGACAACTTGCCTTGACAATAAAGAACAGATTTTTAACATTAATCAGTCCAGAAAAATTAATTAATTTAATATTTAAAGACAGAAAAAAACTTTTGAAAGGAAATTTTCCAAAAAAAAATTTAACACAAACAATTGCGCTAAATTAAAAGTTACAAGAAGAAAGAGCAATTACTCTTAAAAAACAACTATCAATTAATGAAAATTAATAAAGAACAATTATCAATTAAGCAGCATTTAATGTACCGGTGAACTCTTCTACACGGAGAAATCTTTTATAAAAAGTAAATAAATAACTGACCACTGACCACACAAAAATGTTGCCAGATTCAAAGTCAAAAAATCATTACTGTCCTAAGAGATTTTAAGAGGTTTGTTTTCACTCATACGTAAAAAACAAGTACGCATGTAGTGGGAAAGACCGCATTCTTCATGGCCATTCTTACTGTATGAACCTGCAATCACTGTCGAGAGAGAATAGGAACCAGACTGGTGATATGAATTTTATATAAGGGCTAATCACACTGCATGCAGTTGTCCAGCAGTGGACTGATCCTTAAGACACGGTTCCCAGCATATCACCGAAGTCAAGCATCACTGGCTGCGGTCAGTGTGCGGATGGGTGACCATTTGGTTCAGTCCGCGTAAGGACCGAGGGTGTGCGGTATAGGGTCTTGTTAAACTGTTTTACCATAAAGTGCTCGACTTCGCGTGCAGTTCGTTGGGCAGCCGGAGCGGTAGTGCCATCCCCTCTGTAAAGGATAAAAATTGTAATGGCTTGATTTCGGATCATCCTCAGGTATGTTTCCCAAACCGTTGCCAATAGCCATTGTGCAGCTTAGTGCGACGTAAATGAACTACAACAACAACAACACTTCATGTAGTTTATACAAAGTTGATTAACGTCAAGGGATAATGAGAACCTGGCAGGTGAAATGTTTCACTAGTGAAAAACTCACCAATCAGATTTTTATTTTCTCAAAACGGCAAGCTATGCATGAATCGCAAACAGTGTAAACGGTCCTTTAACAATCAAGTTTTCCTACTCTGTCGGCGGAGATCGGATATGCGTGAATCGCATATATGGAGAACTGTGCATTAGTGCATCCGACTGCCCTAATGTTTAGAAAATTCTTCAAAAGAGATGGCACTTAGTGAGGTATTTTATTTATGTCACACAATGGGTCATTGGTGTCTGTCTGAAAAATATTCCTCAGGATGATCCGAAGGCATATCATCAACGTTTTGATCCTCTGCAGTAGGGATATCATTTGTGAGGCCACTTCCTCAATTTAGACATAGATCTGAAGGGAAAGAAACTTTTCTCCAGATCCCTGTACCAATAGTCTTGCTCAGCGACTGACCACAAGTCTTTTGATTCCACAGATTTTACGAGCACGTATATTGCATGTACTCGGAGGGTCTTAGCGGAGTCGATGCCCTACGACCTTTTGTTAGATTCTCTAACAATACTAGAAGCTGCTCTCACATACAGGAATCGCATTCACGTGGGATCAAGATCATGCTGTGAAAGTGGCTCCTAAGCATATTTTTTTATTCCCAAGTTTAAAAAGATTTTTTATTTGGCTTAATTGTGAACGTTGTAGTTACTCTACAATAATGAGATATTAAAAGTGGCTAAGGATTCATCCTTAATGATGATTCGCCTGTAAACAGGATACCGCCACGAGTTATATCGGTGGGTGTATCGATGCAAGCCTCCGTACTGCACTCCCCAACCATGCATGAAATTCGGCAGCTCTGAAATAGTCGTGGACATGTCATTAGAATGTATTCTAAACCATTAAAACAGAAAAAAAAAATTTCGAAATATTAATAATTGTTTACAGTTTGAAACCTTATAATATTGGAACTTCAAATAACACTAAAATCAACATTCCTTTGCATTAATTAACTGTCGCATCTTGTTCGGAAAGGTCAAGTTCTCAGACAGATGATAAAAAAAGTCCGAGTTTTTTTTAAATCAGAAACAAAGAAGTTTCACCGTCAACTACTCATTTGTACTTATTTTGAGTGAAATATTTGCCAGATAGAAGAGGATTTACTCTGCACTCTGAAAGTTAAATATCCGAAATTAAACGACAACTAGTTACCTGTTAATTTGAAAATGAATAAATATTTTACTAAATGCCCTACATAGAAATTTAAATTATTTTTAATACAAGAATGGTTTACAAAAATAAAATGCTCAAAGGTCCATTTTTAGAAAGAACACTAGATCACATACTTATGTAAAAAAAATAATCGTAGAAAAAAAATGAGTTTTTGTGAGGAATGTGCCCTCTATAACCGTCGTTAGAGTTTTTTGACCCCCCAGACAAATTATTTTCTTCCTTCTCTTTAGCCCTGTGATGGGATGTCATGCGGCTATCCAACATGATGTCCTTTGAAGACTATAAAACTTGTTTCCATAATCACAGATTTTTTGGTCATGAAAGGATAAGCATAATGCATTTACTAAAATGCATAAAGGATTTACTAGGATAATGCATAATGCATTTACTAAAATGCATAAACAAATGAATCATCCTGATTAACTTTCGATCAAATGATCAGATTTACATGTATTAGAACTTAATTTAATGACTCGAGGGGATGGCTTCAAATATGGTAATTAATTAGCGCAGGCGATATTTTAAGTTACGAAATTAGACACAAAAACGCATTTTGTGTCTAATTCTAATCCTCAAAATATATGTGATAACTGCAATCTAGAAAAGATGGTTCTAATTGTTTGGTCAAGAGAGCGGTCAAAAATTTTAGCCCCTTAATCGGAATTTTACTTCTTACGTATTTCGCCAAAGTGCGGTAAATTTTTGGGTGAATTGAAACTTTTTTCACTTAATTATAAAATTTATTTATCCAATGATAATACCACGGAAAATATTAAATGATTTTTTTATTGCTATTTATTAATTTATTTAATAAGTGTCTGTAAGATATGCAAATACAAATTTTTGTAGGATATGAACTGTAAAATATACAAATTTTTGCAGAATATAATTTAATTAGACAAAATAGAAATAAAAATTTGAACGAAATCAATCTAATAGTTCCTGAGAAATCGAACATTAAGGATGTCGAATATTTAAAACGTGATTTCTAATTAGCTATTCAACTAATTTTGTCCAAATTTTGTATTTTGCTATACGAAATTACATTCTTTAAAATAATGTAAAACTTTGTGTACCTTAAAATGTATTAATTTATAATTGTGTACCTTAAATTATTAAATAAAATAATAAAACTAATAAATAATTGTTAATACTATTTTTTCCATGGCATTATGCTTAGATCAACGAGTTTTTTAAGTTTCGACAGAAATTCATTAATTTACTTAATTTATCCAGCTATAGAGTAACATCAACATTTAAGGGGTTCAAACTTTCGTCCCCTCTTCTGACCAAACTATTGGCACTATATTTCCTAAATTGCTGCTACCCTCTATATTTTAGGCTTCATAAATCATAATCCGTCGAAAAAACGGTATCTTTATTCAGCAAACGTATGTTTTTGTGTCTGATATCGTAAGTTAAAGTATCGTATGTACTAAGTAATTAGCATATTTGAGGTCACCCCTTGATCCATTTAATTGAATACTAGGCTTATTCTTTTTTTTTTTTTTTTTTTTTTTTTTTTTTTTTTTTTTTTTTTTTTTTTTTTTTTTTTTTTTTTTTTTTTTTTTTT